CTGAGTTTTAACGTTTCAGTTTTAGTATTTGAGAAAGGTGCTATATTCCTAGTAGTGAAGAATAAAGCTTTCCATCTGATTTTCAGAGATGGCATTGCATGCTTTTTGCAGAATTATTTCCATCTCTTACCTGTCTCACTGGCCTTTCTGGAGAACATGTGAACTTGGAGACTATGACAATTTTTACTTTAAACAACTTAATCTTGTCTTTCTAAGTCTGTGTTAGACTGTGTAGTTATGTATACAGACCTTTTATTCCTTATTACTCAATCCACAAATAACTCCAGAATACTGGAAAAACTACAGTCTTTCACTATTTAAAATGGGATAATTAACTGATTAACCAGCTTTTTATAGATATTTTAGACACACAGGTCATGCATGGTAGAATTCAGCTTTTATGTAAGCAGACACCGTTGTTATGCATCTGACCTACAAAAAACAAACTCAGTTTTGGAAGATAGCGAACAGCTAATCTGCTAAGCGGAAGAAAACCTAAAGTACTGTGGGTAATGTTCAGAGTAAAAGCTAATAACTGAAAAAAGCTTTAATGTATGCGCTGAAGTAATATTTTCCATTTGTGTACCACAGAATTTAACTTCTGTTTCAAATATCTCCAAAACAGATAAACTAAAACAGTTCTTAAAGTTTCTTGAGGAGCTCAATACCCCAGATGGGAAATGGCAGTGGAAAGTCCACTGCAAAATACAAAAAAAACTTAAAGAGCTGGGGAGGTAAGCGGTGTTCTTCAAATACCAGTTGTTAAAATGCTTCCATTTTAAATCATGCTCTCAAAAATGCGGTTAAATAGACCTCAATATTATGCTCATCTCTTGAGCTGTATTTAATATTTAGACTGACCTTAAATCAGGTACCTCTTTAATAGCGCGTTTGATTTTATTCCAGAATGAATGCTAACGCCCTGAGCCTGCTGACGCTTTTGAATACCTATCAGAAGAAGCACTTGGTTGAAATTCTGTCTTACCATAACTGTGATTCTCAAACTCGAAATGCTCCGGAATTAGACTGTCTTATCAGGCTCCAGGCTCAAAATATACAACAGAGACATGTTGTCTTCTTAACAGGTAAAAACAAAATCTGGAAACTTCTCTCCCTTTCTTGCTATTAAGTGGTAAATATTAATATAAAATCTCCTTCTGTATGTTTAGAAAAGAATCTCAAAACACTTTCCAGTTATGCTGAGAATGGAATAGTAGTTGCGACTGTTGATGACTTTATGCAGAATTTTAAAAGTCTTGTTGGTTATCACAACTCAGTTACCGAAGAAAACAACCTTCCTCCCTCTGATGTTCATGAAAGACAATCAGGTAATATTCAACGCACTTAAGCTTTTTTCTTTCTTTCTTTCTTTCCTTTTTTTTTTTTTTCTTCAGCTAATTGGAGGTATGGGGTGGAGGCCTTTGAAATAGCATACCCTTACTCTTTTTGTAAATGAACACTACAGAAGGCAAGGAAAACCCAACTCTCAAGCTACTCTTTTTCTATTTTAAGTGATGGGGGAAAGCAGCTGGGATGGAGTGCCAAAAGAGCTCTTAAATACATAATTATTATAGGCTAACCATGGTATCCAAGAAAGTAGATGAATGCCAAAGTGGCGTTCCGTTCTGTTTTCAGGAGAGGATAAGCTTAATGATAGTTTTTTAGAAACCGTAACGAAGGGACTGAGATGTCAGTAATTGTACTCCTTTAATTGTCTGATCAAATACTGACCTACTGTATAACTTTAGATGCTGTTTTGACATTAACCCCTTTGGAGCTGGGAGTTGGGATTTCCCAACACTAAACATGAACACAATGCGCAGAAGCTTTTAGCATCGGAATAACTGGACACTCACACAGAGGGTTAAGTGTGTATGTTGAGTAAGTCAACAAGAGTGGCAGAAGACCAAGACTTAAGTGATATTGGACTTACAGACCTGAAGCGTAACACTCTGTGAGTAGTGTATAGCTTTTCTAACAAAAGTTTGTATTTCAATAGAATAGGACTTCTCTTTTTTTTTAATGTAGTTCTTGTAGAAAACGATGAAAAGGATGAGGAGGACATGTCTCTGGATTCAGGGGATGAAACATCACAAATAGAAATCTGCAGTGATGCCTCTAAGTATGGTACTCATTTGGAAGCTTTGCAGAGGGAGGCCAAGGGCTCACATGGAGTAGTTTCCAAAGAGAGCTGCATATCAGTTACAGAGTTATCTCCTGAAGCACAAATTGGTTTGATGGAAAGGACTTCTAAAATTGACTCAGAAGAGATACAACCAATTGCTCTGGTTTCTACAACATGCTCTGCTGAAGGAGAAAAACACGATTCAGTTGAACAAGTTCCTTTCAGTAACTTCCAAGTTTATAGTAGACAATTAAGCATGTCCCATCAATTCAGTCACTTTAATGTACTCACTCATCAGACTTTTTTGGGAACAACATACCCAATTTCTACAAGTCAAAACCAGGAAGGAGGAGGCAATTATTTTCTCTCTGCTTACAGTCAGAGCATGGATACAGAAAAGTCATCATCGCCTGGTAGCTGGGATATAAATTGTGATTCTTCCAGGCTATATTCAAAACAGAAATAAACTCACAAGTCTTTTTTTATAAGTTGCTGTGGACTTTTCTGTTTCTAAAATGGTGGATTAACAATTTCTATTTTATTCTGGAACAAAATGTTACTTGTTCTTTATCTCAAATGTTTTCTTGTCTTATTTAAATCATGATGGCCTGTACTTGTTGAAAGCATCTGAAAATTGAAATAAATATATATATTTTTTAACATTTATTGTACTTGAATTATCTTGTTTGTTGGCACTTTTAAGTTTCTACATTTGTATTTTACCTGTACTTGGGCTTCAGTTTGAAGTCTGTCCTAATGTTAAACTGAATGTTTGCCTAAAGTATGTGAAACAGCAAATTTTTTAACTGTAATAGTATCCAAATCACTTTTCTTTACATAAATATCAAAACGTATGTATTTATTTGACATCTGACACAAATTTTGTACAAATGTTTTTACATACTATAAGGCAGTGTAGTTATTTTAATGAATATATACTGGATTTTGGCTAAATACCTCAATTAGAGTAACCAATGGTGCAGTTCCATTACAAAAATAAAATAAACTCTTAATGCACAAGGGACTTGTTAACAAGTTGCATTGTCTGTGTTTTTATGTTGTTTTCAAAATGCATAAAGCATACCCAAACTTTATTTCAGGACTAGCAATCTGCTGTGTTTAATATGTGACATTCCAGGCTTGTTGCAGAATCATCAAGATGCTCTTAAGACTTGTATCTTGCCATTACAGTTAGGAGGAGGACAAATCTGGCTTTAACGAACGTGGTAGTTTAAACCTGTATTAGAACCTCACTCCTCTTCCGCTTTACCACTACCACAAGGATTCTTATTTTTTAAACTAGTACTGTCCTAAGTATGGAGTTTTGTCTTTTTCTTTACCTTGTCTTTTTTAATTAATTTTACAGCTGTTGAGTTAAACGTCTTTTTCCCAAGCAATTCTCTCTAAACTGAAGGCTAATATTGACTCATTTAGTGTACCATCTTCTCAATCAGAAAGGCTTCTGGAAAAGAGTAGCAGGGAGTGAATAGCTGGCAATTCTGTCTATCCCGGTTCTTAAATTGTTGGTTTTGCTTGTGCTAATGCCCTGACTCTTACGCTTATTGCTCTCTTTAAGTTGTTCAAAGTCTCATGGTTTTTCTATTTATAATTTGATTTTAGTTTTTCTATGTGTAATGTGTGGTACCGTGCCAGGTAAAAGTGTTTGAAAGTACAACACTGTACAGCCTCCCAGTTTAGTTGGGACAAATACTGTTGGGAAGGGGGTAGCTTTAAAAAAACAAAAAAAACATTTCCTTAAAGTTGAAGGTTCCCCCTCTACTAAACATCTATTTAATTGGTTTAAATTAAAAACAAAACAGTAGTAGCCTAATATAGCAGTTATCGCTCCAAACATGGCAAATAAATGATAAGACTGTTGTTTCAGGAAAAATTCCCTCCTATCAATTAAACCTTAATTTTGTGCAAAACTGTTCTACTAAATTGTTACATTAGGTGTAGATTCTCACCTGTTACGTGACTTGGTGTGCGTCTGGAAAGGGAAGTGCAGCTACTGCTACAAGATACCATCATATTCATGCTTTGCCTAGAAGCAGTTGCTGCTAGGAAGAATCCCAGTCTGAAGGTTCTGCAGCATTTTTAAAATAGGCTGTATCACAGATCAACTAACATGAAGTCAGGTTATGGGTCTGCTGCAGTTCTCTAGAAGAGAAACACTTTTACCTAAAGTTATCCCATCTTTTGAAAACTGGAAGTAAATGAATCTAAAAATAACGTTCAGTTCTGGTTGGAAGATTTGAACACTGACCTATTCAGACCTTGTTTGTGAGTAAGCTTTCTTAAACTGAGTTCTACTGCCTTGGTCCCAGCCAATTACAATGTTAAGTGGTACTATACTTCGTGTTGTGGTTTGGTGGTGTGGGTGTGGAAAAAAAAAAAAAGATTCAGTTTATTCACCATTTTGGTGGAATCCAGGATTACTTGAGTTAACAGACATGCTGTCTAAGCATAAAAGCTTTCTGAATGATTAAAGTACAAGCAGTGTCATATAGTTAAAAATACTTAAAAAAAAAAAAAAAGTTGTCAAGCCATTCAAAATGCATCTTCATCTTTTTATTTATCAAAATACATACACTTTCAGCCCTATTAAAAAACCATGTAACAATCCTATACGCTGTAGTAGTGGTTTATATGAAATGGACGTATGTCTTCAGTCAGCCTGAAGACCGTTCTAAACAGAGAATCCATCATTAGTTTAATGTATTGTCAATCTGAAAAGCACCATGACCCTGTAATCTGTCAAAATTCACATAAATCATTTACAAAAAAAGATACAGGGATCATTCAAAATTTGTTACAGTGACAAAGTGCTCTGCCTTTACATTTAAAAAAAAAAATTCTGTATGCTCATATATACCTTTTAAAACGGTGAAATAAAGTTCTCTTCTTGAGCTATAGCTGGAATTAAACCGGTCTCCAGCTCCTTCTGTTTCTGCAGGAGGCCCTGAAATACAGGAAATGGAAATGTGAATGCTCTGCCTTCCTCATGCAGCCTGAGCTAATAAAGCGTTACTGTTTAATCCATTAAAAACCCTTATTAAGACTCACTGCTTTTTAAATATGCACCTTAAGAAAGTAATACAACATAATACATTCAGAAGAGAAGGCCCTGTCAAGATTTCCTGTCTTCTGCAAAAGACCTGCTTAAGTGTGGCAAAATGGAAGCCTGTACTATTATTTCCAGGGATGTGAGACAATGACTTCTTTCGTGTATTAAGCTAAGTTGCTCACGCAGTACATTTGGGCTATAGCAGCTCCCAACTATAGTCTCTGAAGACGTATTCTAACATGTTCTTATGCAAAGTGTTTTTCTTTTTTTTTTTTAAATAAGAAAAGCCAAACTCAAAAAAAACCAGCACCAGTTCATACTATTAAGTTTAATTATACCCAAAGATAAAGGACAGCATTACCATTTGAACTAAAACAGTAGCAAAAGTTTTATGATGCTGGTATAGGTAAAAGGTTCCTGCTTCAGTAGTGGGTCTTGTAAGTACTGTGCGATTGAGTAAACCTGAAATAAGACATCTTGGATTGTATCCTTGGTTATATGAGCGGTGATACTTTTCACTGTAATTAACAGGATCAGACCTACCGGTACATCTGGCCCTTGACCTCGATCCATTTTAGAACTCTCAGAAGTAGCTTGGTACCAAGGAAGTAAGAGTTACAGTGGTATTTCTCCTCAGAGTTACCAGGCCTTTCTTAGCGATAAGGGTTAGTAGCATGATGTTACAGCTCAGCATACACGTTCTGCCAGCCAGCAGATGCTACTACACTTTTCATATCGTAGTCTCAGTGAGACGAGGAGAGAGAGAGATTATGCAGAAGTGGTTTAAGTTAGCAAAGAAGCCTGTTATACGTGGTTTCATGTCATTCCAAATGCAGCAGCTCTACTTTTGATGACTTGATTAATTGCTTTTTTTAAATAATCAAGCAACAACAGTAACGGCTATTTAGTATGTTACTAGATCAGTGAACTTGTTCAGTCCTTTTGTCAATGACTGCACTTGCTACAGAGTGTTTTTTGAAATTAGTAGCAAGTTACAAAACAAAGTAAGGTAATAAATTTTGCCTTAAATTAAAATGACCCCGAGCAGTGGTGAGCAACAAATAAACAAACAGATGAAATGAAAAACAGAACAAATTATCTTCACGTGGTTTGCAAAGATGATGCTAAAAGCTGCCTAGACAAAAGTAAGGTGAAGGCTATAGATAGGGACAAGTAGAGAGAGAGAAAGAGAGAGAGAGAGCGAGAGAGAGAGAGAGAGCGTGTTCTTTGCATGTTGATGGCCTGCTGGTGGCTGGCATGACTGCTTAGCCATTGTAGGCTACAACCTGCTGGCAAGTGTTTTTAAGTCCCTTAGTAAAACATGTTGTTCTAGCTTTTAAAAAAAAAACAAAACAAAACAAAAAAAGAGCTTTGGCTCTCTTTTTTCCTGTGTGAAGAAACTTGGGCTTATTCCACTGACTGTTTTGATTTAAGTGAGGAAAATAAGTCTGTTGTCGTTCCTGTTACTGCTGTCATCTTAAAAACAGGAAAAGATTTCACTGCAGCAGCCAAGACAAAGGGCGGCTTGCTGTCTCATAACAGATGCAATGACAGAATGGCGCTCCCTTTGCTGGAGGAGTGCAAGGCTGTGGATTATTTTATCCTTGTCTGCCGTCCACTGTTACGCGTGTCTTTCATGGACTAGCTAGTAAGAGCAGCTAGACTGTTACTGAAACACCCTGATTATATTTCAGAAATTACTTAAGAGCGCCTGAAAAATATCAATCCTCTATAGCTTGCGCTATATATGCATGTATGTATCATTAATTAAAAAAAAAAAAAGAATTACCTTCTGAAATAGAAAACTGAAACGCTTCTCTCTATCTAAAGTATGTTTCATGCAACATACTGCATTACTGTTCCTTTCTCAATGAAATACCAGTGCAAAACAGCTGTCATCAAGAGAAGTATACAATAAAGAGTATCCAAGTCAACAGTTAATGGCCTAAACGCATTCTGCTGCTGCTAGGATAATTTAAAAAAAGAACTTCCCATGATTTAAGTAGGTTAATTCTCTTTCAGAACCAAGGTCCTTTGAAAGACGACTAACTTTTTAACATTAGTTTTCAGCCACTGTAAAGCCCTGAATGCATGTTACATAGCAAAAATACTCCCAAGCGTGTGTCTCCTAAGTTCTCCATCCCTGATAGTAGCACCTTAAAACTCATTTAAGTACTCATGGCTTTTGTTTACTTCAGCAAGCACAATGATCAAATTGTGCTTTGAAGCTGGCTTCACTCTTCACCAGAACACCATCTGCAAATGAAGCCTGACTACAGAATACTTAAAAGTTGTGGCTGTTTAACAAAAGTGTTAATAAACATTGGGAGTGCCCTGATCCAGTCAAAGCTACTTGAAAGCCACTAGAAACTATGAACTTTTTTGTGCTCTTGTGTTACATAAATATATTTTTTTTCACTTGCAGGTTAACGATGCCATCCCTACGTCTCCTAGTGACTTCACCTTGAGGAGAACCATGATCTTTCATTGGGCAAAGAATTCGCCTACTACTGAGGTATTAGGTGTGCATAGCAGAACTGTGTCTTCCTAAAGCACAGCAGGTAATTAGAACACCTAACTACTGGTAGTTCTGTGGCACTAAAGTCTATCAATCAGACCTTCTTCCTTTTACTTAGATCATTTATGCAATTTATTGCCTAAAGGCATGGAAGAATAGATGGCATTGCTAGCAGAATACTACATATATAGATTTGTAATGTTCCTCAAGGAGGAAAGGCAAGCTTCAGGAAGAACTTTCTGTCCTGTCTTGCAGCCTCCCTCTCAGGCCATATAGCAGCTTAAAAAGAGACGGTCTCTGTGATTGTCCAGATCTGCAGTCTGAATCTGCTGTGGGCCACACTTTGCTGCTAGCAGGTAGAATATCACATTAATTTGTGTTTTAATAACTAGATGTAAAATCTTTTTCCTAGTATGCTGGCTTCAAACAGAAAAATATGTACCTTCATAGCACCAGCTACAATCTTTTACACTGTTTGAATGTACTGTAACACAAAGCATTAAGGACGGGCTTATCTCATTCAAAATTGTTTTAGCAATCCTGTAGACCTTTCATTACCACTAACTTACTTCATACAGAACAACACGTACAAATACACTCAACACTTCTGTCTCAGACTCCTCCTGTGTGTGTTATTCTACCAAGTTAAATTTTATTTTTAATCACTTGATCTGGCTACGATTAACGTAGCCTGAATTTTTAGACATGAACAAAGGAGTAGCTACCTTGGAAAGGTTTTATACATGGCTACCTTGGACTGTGCAAAGTAGAGTGTTTTTTCAGGACTGATGCATGACTACCACCCCTTTAACTTTTCTGCAGCAGCCGCACAGCTCTGTCGTGACAGGCTCAAAAGAAGTGCAGTTTCATTAACAGGAGTTCTAGTGTGGGGTTAAAAAGCTTCTCCTTTTCCCCTTGAAATTCAAACAGCCTTACTATAAGCAGCTCTATCAATACATGGAGACTAATAAAGCCATTCCTCTTGGTATCGCTTTTCTCAGGTGCTCCACTGTCTCCCAGCTAACTACGGAGAGTCTGAAGGTGGAAGTAACACATAAAAAGCAAAATTATAGGTAAGAGGAAAAACAGCAGAAGAAAGGGCCAAAACTTAGCAATATGATGGGAAAATGAAAGAAAGATCAATGGTCATGACTAGTAGTTAGCAACGTTCATTCTGACTTTAGTATGTATAAACATTCATGCTCATCCAGTAACTAACTTACCTGGCGTAATTCTGACAATCCTTTGAGAATTGCTTGTTGTCTCTCTCTGATTTTAACCACATCAGGATTTAGAAGGGGATCTCTAATGTGATCAGAGCTAAAAATCTGTCGTGATGTTGGGTAAGAATCTAAAAATAAATACATATCAGATCAGTTAACACTATTGTTTATCAGTTTTATTTTAATTCTGAAGTAGTGATGATAGCTTGCGAAAAAGCATTTTTTGTTTTTATTAGATTACGATCCCTGTATTTTTATAAAATCAAACAACATTTAGGTCCCGAAAACCAAAACCTATAGTACCTAAAAAGTGCAGTGATACTTACTTGAAGGTAAACAAACAAAAAAGACACAGATAAAAGAAAGTTTTGTTGCTTTTTTTTTGAATAGGGGAGGTTGATTTTTGTGGTTTTTTTTTTTTTTTTTTTTTTTTAAATGCAGACTATAGGTTGGTTGCATAAGCTTTCTGTGCAGTGCTGCACCACACCTGGGTTATTGTAAAATTCAGTAAAAACAAATACCAAATTGAACAAATCGTAGCACTTTGAAATAAGTAACATTGATAACATTTCTTCTCTCCTACATGAATCAGCTCACAATACATTTCAGTACCATTAAACTGTCGATATTGTGGGTCATGTGTCGAAGGTCTAGTCACTGGCGCGTCTGGATCAAGATAATACACTTCATTTGTTCGAACATACGGAATAAAGTGTGAAGAAGGAGGCCTCCCAGGTTCCGTAACCGGAGCAGGGGAGCTCCTTTGATGTGTATCTGTGTTGATACTTTTCTCTCTTCCACTATTGTTGTTAAGCACCAGGAAATTAGAAGTATGCATCTGTTTTTGTTGTCCTTGGTGTAATTTGTTCTTAACTGCTGGAACAGGTGGTGATTCAGATCTGAATGAAACAATTTCAGTTAAAAATTAAAAAACACATAAGTAAGGCAATTAATTTTCTTGAAAGGCGAGAGAGAGAATCCTCAGAGGACTGCACTTTTGATCAGTTACTCTGCTTTTATACTTCCAGAACTAACTTAATTTGTCTAGAACAACATTCTTGTGTATTCCGAATCATAGACAATCAATCAGATGCATCCAAATTTTTAAAAAAATAAAAGAAAATCAAAAAAGAAAACAGGCATCCTATTGTCACTACTGATGCATTTAAACATTTCATTGATGCAGAGTATTGACATACCTTTCTTCATTCAAATGATTCTTATGTAACTGTTCTTCCTACAAGAAAACAAAATTAGTCAAAAGCAAAATAAAAAGCTTCGTGTTTTTATATTAAGCATTTTCATTTTTCCAGACAAGTTTGTTTTGAAATTCCAAAAGGACTGTTTGACCTGAGGTCAGGAGAAAGATATTTATCAAAGACTGCATTGTCTACGCACAAAGACAGATTTACAAAGAATGCAGTATCTATGAACTAAATGGAACAAATTACAGAAGGTTAAAAATTTGCTTTAATTTTCTATGTCTACAACAGCTCTAAGAACAACCAAAAATACTGGCTATATTTCCCAAGGCCCTTAGAAAGCTGCATTTTTAAGCCTGAAAGGTTCAGCCTAAGATAATGACTATTAAAGAAAAGGTCCTTTTTTCTAGGTAAGGTAGGTGGCAGTTTTTTCTTATAAGTGAAAGATATTAATGTATCCCACACTTCTTACAGTATCAGACAATCTTTAATTATCTTACTGTTCTGCCTAAAACTTATTGCCCCATATCTGGCATACAGAATTCCTAAACTTTAAATTATTTATATATATATATATATTCAGGAGATAATAGATATATAGATAGAAAGATATAGGTATATGTTCATGAATCTGTCAATAATATAATTGGAAAGCTTATATTTAAAACTATCCTCAAGTAAACCAACAAATTCAGTTTAACAAATGAATTCTTAACATCTTTTAAAACACCTACACAAACAGCCATTTCAAGCAGTTTTTCATACCCCCAGCTTTTAAAGTATGTGCAGGTAGCCCAGTACAAAAATGGCTAAACAGAACTGAATTGGCCACCTTTTCCTACAGTGAGGTGATATGTTTATGTACACAGAGAGAGAGAGAGAGAGAGAGAAATATACTTGATAAGTGTTTTCTTTAAATGAAAGTTGTTGTTTTTCCAGCGATAGGCTACGCTGGTACGTGCTTACTGCAAATAGAAGAGAAAGAAAAGATTCCACTAATTATGCATTGTTATGACAACAGAGTGCATCCTCAGTAGTCGTTTCTGTTTTGGTCTGGTTTGGTTTTTTTCTAAAGATATTCCTATCCATCAACTATCACCACAGTGTACAGCTGACAGGACAGAAAACAGCAAGTCAGTGATATCATTCTATCCTGTACATTGCTTTCAATGAAGATCCCACTTTACATAATGAATCAATGATAACAAATAAGTTAAAGAGAATAAAAGCTTTGGAGGATTCAAGTAACATCAAAATGCAACTCAGAGATTCAAGTAACATCAAAACGCAAGTCAGAAAAAAAAAACGTATAAATTCTTCTGATCATAATGTTCAAAACATTACTCTAACACTGTTCTTCACCCAAAGCGCAGTAATGGCAAAATGCTTACATAACTGAATTTCTGTCCAGACGGAACTGAGTGAGACAACAGTCGTAAAAATACACATCATTGTTGTCAAATACCAAATAGTTACCTTTCTGACTGTATGTCCCTTATTCTTCCTATTTATTTCTTGATGAGGTGAGGGAGACCTGTCTGAAGAACTACCCTTCTTTTGGCAGAGATTCCCAGGGGTATTTCTTTCTACCAAATGCAGCAGCTCCATTTGTCGTCTTACTTTGTTTTCTTCCCTTTGTTTCTGTAGCTGTTTAGGGTATCTTTCTGATGCTGGAATGTATCTTTTCCCAGGTTTGTTTATGTTCCAGTCAGGTCTTTTGCCACACTTTTCCATAGGTTTAACTTGTCTGTCTTTTCTTGCAAATTGTTCATACGGATCATTGTAAATGCCATCGTTCCCTTTTTCTGCAATTGTATTTTTATCTGTATACTGCATTTCTTTCTGGTATTTTTTGCTGTTAGAGGTTTCTTTATATTCTATGGAAATATCAGGTGATCCGCAACACACAGTTCTTTCTTCAGCATATGCTGATGTATTAAAGTCATCTAAAAAAAATTATATTTTAACTCTTAGCTAAGCTGTTTGAATAACTTGTTTGACTTCTGTCTGCATATCAATCATTACTGATTGTCTTCAAAAAGTGGTTGTTACAATCTTATAATGTTTTTTATTATTCATGGGGTGGAAGTAGAAGAAAACTCAATAACCAGAGAAAAAAGATTGCAGAACAAAATCAAGTCACTATAAAATAAAATTTAAGTAAAAGGAAATTACATTATCTTAAAATGGAGAGTTCAGTTTTTGTCTCGGTAGCCAGTGATAAAGAACAAAGTATAGCTTCTACTTAATTATTTAGCATGCTATGGTTTGGTCATATCCACAGTGGTACTGGGAATAACGTACTTTCCCAATCCTTGTCTTCCAGTAGACATACTTTGTTCAGGTTTTTAAGCTACTAACAATCCAGTTTCCTTCTATATTATGAGGGATACACAAAAATACTATTTAATTTCTATACTTTCCAAATTTTTCAGTAGTATTTCTGTCAGCACTGTTAAAACCAATAATACTACTTTTGCTTATCCAAACAGCCACGAAACAAAGCTTTCACTTCTCAAGTGACGGGAAGTTAACAAATCCAAGCCACTTCTAAATACAAGGCATATAGCGACTGTATGTTTCCGCTAAATCTGCTCCTACAGACCTCATCTATGACTTTAACAGATACAGATTAAGTTGATCTGGGTTTCTTAATGGTGCGCTATATAATCAGGATAAAGGCTGGAAGGAAGACGATTTAGATGCACCTACAATTTTTTGGGGGTGTTTAACAGGAATTTTAGAAAGCTTTTCTACTTGTTTGAATGCAAAGTCTCAGCTTTTCTGTTTTTTAATTCCAGGTTTATTGATAATGTTTCTGCTAATATATTTGTGGATTCGCTAGGAACCCAAGCCAGCATGTTACTCAAGCCTGCGAACACTCGCCCTGAAGAATACTGCAGTATATGCTAAAACGCCTTACTAAATTTAGTTCTACATGGCTTGTGGCCATGACTCTAAGCCAGAACTCTACTTCAGACTGGCTGATTTTAATTTGTAACAGGTAGAGAACAACTACATAAACGTATCATGTATTTAGAATGTAATTAGTGTTAGCAAGCAGCTGAGGAAGCCTTTTTCACAAATCTAAAGAAAGCTCTCTCTGCTGACTTTTACATCTCAGTATTAACTGAAATTGCTGATAATATTTTACTTGTGATAATCTAACATGCTTGTGTCTGTCCAAGTATTTCTTTCTAGTTTTATTCCATTCTGAATGACCGTGATTTGGCTCTATAGCTTATGTTACACAAACATGCTGTCCCACTTTTATTAGGTACACAGAATAATTAAATTTAAGGGCTGCATACCTGTCTGTACGGCAGTGTCTTTCCGAGGAGAAGTCTGCTGATCAACTTCACTGTTAACGTCATCAGAAAACTTTTGACTTTGATGTGAAACGCCAGTATTATAACTTTCAAATACAGTATCACCTAAAAATAAATACATTACTAAATGAAACAATTTTATTTATGTTCTGTTTAAACCATGCTATCAAGTTATCACACTATTGTGGTTTTAGAATTCAGAGCAAAAGACTGAGAACTATCTGATTCAGAGCCTACTGCTCTCCTTGTTTCGTTGAAAATCAAGCTGACAGTACTTAGGTCTAAATATTTCCTATGCGTTTCTGGTAATTTCCTTGTATTTCTTCCTTTACATAATGTACTATTTGAAGCTTAATAAAACACCGTAGTCTCAATATTAGTTATCACTGATACTTGTTCAGAAGGCTCTTTACATAAGCTGAAATGAAATGTGGTTCCTGAAGCAAAGGAGCAGTTTCTGTTCCTATTACAAATGCAGACATTTTTGACTGGCAAAAAAAACCCCTCAACTCCCATGCAAATACCGAAAGAACAGGCAAACGGAATATGAAAAGGTTGGTACTTGCCACCACCAAGATTCTTCTGAAGTTTTGAAATGTCATGTCCTTTCTGTGCCAAGTCTCGAATGCGCTGTTCTTGTTTTAATCTCTGGGCTAATTCCTGCGCTTTCTGCATTGTCTGATAGAGCTCCTTTGTTTTAAGAGTCATGAGTTCCTATAATAAAAAAGTAAACACATGTGATCATTTATTTTGAGAGTAAGATAAATAGGATTAATTAATCTCCATGTAATCGCTAAGGTTGACATATATTCTTATTTTGGATAAAGCTGTTTTTTAAACTAGTTGATGAGATGCAATTCTTAATATTGAACTTTTTTATGAATATAAAATCAGAGTTGCTGCTATGCTATTAAAAGATGTTCGAGCCTAGCATTAAATGACCATCATTTAGCTCCTTATAATTATTTGCATATATAATTCTCTTTTCCAGTAAATATGTTTTCCTAAATGCCATCTGATTTGATCCATCTATGACTTCCTGTATCATGTGGTTTAAATGAAATAAAAGAAACCAGGATTAAAAAAAATATATATTAAAAGATGTTCGAGCCTAGCATTAAATGACCATCATTTAGCTCCTTATAATTATTTGCATATATAATTCTCTTTTCCAGTAAATATGTTTTCCTAAATGCCATCTGATTTGATCCATCTATGACTTCCTGTATCATGTGGTTTAAATGAAATAAAAGAAGCCAGGATTAAAAAAAATATATATATATATATATTTTTTTTTCCTTCCTCCTAGTTCTGCAGAAAGGAGGCAGTAGAAGCCTCCCTAATTAAGGCAAAACATCCCTAAATCTGAGGGTTATAGTTCTTAGACTCCATGGATTTAAGGTGCAGGAGACCAGGCCAAGGAGTATCTCCTTTCCAAACTTTTATTCTCTCTACACAGTAGTTTTTTCCCCGCTCCAAAATCTTAGTCTCCAAAAGACTATGTTACCATCTCATCCCCACTTCCCATTGCATTTGCAGGTAGAAAGGAAAACAACTGAGAGCAGGATGTATGTTGAAGGGGCTGAACTATTACAGAGAAAGAGAACTTCCCAAATTTTAGCAGTTTTTTCCAGTATCTATAGGCAGATGCTATCTCTCTCCCGCCAGCAAATGCAGAGAAATCAGCGATCCAGTATTTTTGCAGCCCCTAGAGGAGGGTGTGTCACCATCTTGCGACATGGAATTCTCCTAATGTTCCAGAAATGAAGGAAACACTAATAGCTACTACTGTGCAAAAAGAGAAAAGTAAAACATCAGATGAGCCTTTAACCTCTGTTTTGCCCCTTCTACAGTTGCGTCTGCAAGAGGTAAGACTGTATACAAACGCAAAGCGCGTACTTACAAGGTCAAAAAATGTACTTTTACACTGTAATTTTAAAATAAGATCAGTGTGTACAGCTTTGTGAAGTTACAGAGGAAAAACCTGTAGAACATGCCCTTGATTTTTATTTTAAATGACTTTTCCAAAATATATTCTGAAAAAATCTTTAATCCAGACTAAAAGCTCACTCAGTCAGATACCAGCTCATGGTACTCACACAGCTGAAAATCAAGTTACTAAGACAAATAACATGATCACGTATGTCGGGGCATGTCACTTTGTTGTATTTAAAATTATTAATCACGTCTGCATTGTTTTAAACTACAATTGCATTTTTGCCAGTTCTTACCCATTTCTCTTCCTGAAAAGGGCCTTGTCCAAAAGAAGAAACCTGCCTTAAATTAGTATGTAATTATAAGTATATTGACTAAGGAAACATATTGCAGTTTCAAATGTCTAAAGTTCAGGTAGCTTTAATTTTTCAAAAAGATGAAGCAGCACCATTTCTAAAGTGAAGAAAAAACACTATTTTTCTCAAAAACTAACATTATCACAGACTATGAGTTCTGTAACTCTAAGCCTAATTACCATTTTGAAGCTTGGAAGGAGATTTTTCCATATGTTATAATAATTATATTAATTCTAATGGAGATGTGACAAAATCCCCTGCGTAGCTTCAAAATATGTCACCTTTCACTGCAGTTAAAAATAGTAAGTATATAAAAACAGTATTTCGGCAGTGATTACCTCATGGGTCTTACCGCTGTTCACAATATCTAATTTTACTAGGTACAGACAAGCCAGTAAAAAGTTCTCAATTTATTTGCACTAAACAAAACACACAAACCCACTTCCTTTTGTTTTTGTTTCAGCATATCTTCTTCAAACTGTTTCTGCATTAGTTCTCTTTCTCGTGCTAGACGCTGTTCTTCCTCTTGTTCTTCCCATCTTCTCTGCTCTTCCTCCAGTTGTTTCTTCTTCCTCTTTTCTTCTACTTGAGCCATTATTGCTTTCTAGTATTATCATTAAAAAAGTAAAGTTAAAACACATAATGTAAAAGGTATCTATTACAAGCTAGTAACCCATATACCTTCAAAAGAGGGTGTTGGGCGTGGGTGGGTGTGTATAATAATCGGATTTTTTTTAAGAATCAAAAGATCAAGAGAATTTATTAGTTTGTGTGACATTCAGCACTAGGGAAAACAGCTGTCTAGCTAGTTACTACGCACACACACATATACACATACATACACATATATATGCATATTTAAATAAACATAAAATAGCTATTCCACTAACTAAAAAGTATTTCAAAGACTTTTTTTCAATTTCTCAAAAGATAGGTAGTCGCCTTATCATTTCTATGAAAGAACCACCAGCCCAAAAAAGCAGTCTGAAGATACCATGCTGAGATACAAAGGAAGCAGCTGTCTATGTTTTCAATAGTGCTGTGAATAGTGCTGTTTTTCATGAAAAAAAACAGTGGTCTGATTTTTGGCTTATGTATTGTATTTGATCTAGAAAGAATAACAATTTGACCAGTAACAGGCTCATTACATTTCTAATAAGACTTCTTTACATTGCCCTAGGGACATCTTCATGATATACATACAGAGTCCTGTAAAGTAATATATGTGACAGTAAAGTAGATGATAAAATTTAAAAATTCACAGTTTGGGCGTCTCCAAATATCGGTCCTACTGATCAGGGTAGACTGAAGAAAAGATACACACAAACCAGCTCTAAAGACTGTTGTACTTTTTTTGAGGCAAGAATTTAATCACAGAAAGCCTATCAATCAACTCTGTACAAATATTAAAAGAAAACTGTAAAAATATAACTAAGTGAAATACTGTTAAAAAATTGTAAGCATGTAATCCGAAGCATAAAAGTCAACTGTCTAACTGGATTCTGATATTAAATCTCATGTATTGTTCATGTCACAACACTTCCTTTCATTCATTCTTCTCATTAAAATAGCATTAGAGTTTAAAACAGAAACTTACCTGATGTTCTAACTGTTTCTGTCGCCGCCTATCTCTCTCTTCAATCTGTGCAGGATCCAGGAGAGCTGTCATTGAACGAAGGAAACTGTGAACAAAGAAACATTTGAAATTAAAAAAAAAAAAAAAACCTAAAACCTTTCTTAATTACAAGTCTCAGTCAGATTTCAAGTTATATTTTCATATTCAGGCTATCAGATTGTATAAATTTGCTATTATGAAATTCATTGTAGTAAGAACAAAATATTATTATTTGCAGTAAACTTTAATGAACAATATAAACACCTGTGTCATCTCCGAAACTGAAACAATTATTTCTGAAACCAGCAAAAGCCAAATGAATAAGATTCATAGATCAGATTTACAGAATGTTTTTCAAATATTTTTTAATCTCTAAGGAGATATCAGAAATTACCTCACTGGGAAGATGATTATCCTTACAAAGCTCACTCACCTGACTTTCTGACCGTGTTCCAAAGGACTGTTTTTAGCAGCTTTTTCTGCATTTCCCACCTTTGAGGGCGTGAGGTTGCCTAAAGCTGAAGGTGAAAAAGGGTGAACAAAAGCAGTCAGCTCCTTAGGATCAGATGACAGGCAAAGAATTTCAGGCTGCTTTTTGTACATTCCATTTAAGGGGTGTTGTGCATTAGCATTAAGGTGGTTTAAAGAATCAAAATGCATTGCCCATCTGTCATGCTCTTCAGCCTAAATGAATACGAAGCAACAAAAAATGGAAATCAACTCAATTACACTGTTTATGTAAAGTATGTAAACTTTACATAAGTTAAACAACATAGTTAGACAATACACGTTTTGTACCATAGGAGCATTTGAAAAGCTCTATTAGCTATAATACATACAGTAGTTTAGTTAATTCCCTGAATGCGAAAACAGAAGTCACTCAGTTTGTTGTTAAAATATAAGTCAAATCAGAAAGCGTACTGCTGATCAATATACTTCATCAGCAACAACATATCAATACTATATTTTCAGCAAAAAACCCTCGATAACTAGGAAGTGCAAAAAATAAATTAATATCGAAAGTAAAACAAAAAAAAAGCTGGAATTCAGGCTTTTCAGTACTGCTTTTTCAATTTGTATTACTAATCCATTTCATAATTTTTTTTTTTTTTCTAACAGTACTGCAGACTGCTGGACTGACTTGTCAGTGTCCTGACCACTCAGCTCTTGCTATGTACATATGCCCTCTCTATTAACAAACACAAACATATGGCATCTTTTACCCTGTCCCACATGTATCCCTTCCATTTTAACTCTGGATCGCAGCAGGATTATTTTGCTTTGGACATATTATTATGTCATATTATATATATTATGCACTACCTGTGGGCATACCTTTACATCAGAGATACTACTATTTACTTCTCTAATTTCCCATTTTCAGCTGGACAGGCCTGCCTGTTATAAAATAAGCCTTTTTTTCAGAATCTTTTCCACCTACACCAACCATTATTTTAAATTAAACACAAAAAAATCCTATCTTAGGGAAATACCTATAATTTTCATAGAGGTGACATCCCGGATTTAAATCTCTCTTCTTCCTGCTCCACCTGAACTTATTTTGTTTGATTCAGTGTTGGCAACTGGGCATTCTAATACACCATAATCAAAAGGATTAAGGTTTTACCTAAGGGAGCTTCTTCTACTATAGGTACAGAGAAGGTTTTCACTAGAAGGCTTCTCTGGAGGGACTACAGAATAGCTCTATCAAAATTTGCCTTCTACTAACACATCTATTTAAGGGTTTCTGCGAGTACTTCCCTCAAAGACAATTTCCCTTCTGTCAGAAATGTTTTACAACTATTTTTAAAGAGCAAGAAAAACACAGTCCAAAACCCAAAAGAATCCAAAAAGAATCCAAAAGATTCTTCTTCCTGATCCTTGAGTTTTGCCTCCCCTTTGTATATTCTATGGTGAAAGACCAGATCAGAGTAGCAGGGAAATGTATTTTATTGTTATGCAAATCTGTGGTGTAATATACAAAAGGGGTGAGAGTATAACACAAAACCAGAAAAAAAAGGGACACTTAAGAAAACAAGAGTAAATGCATGAAACTTCCCTTCACAAAAGGGTTGGAAGTGAAGTTACTGTCAGACTGCTCATTGGTGACTGCAACCATCTCTCCACCACAAAGACATCAAATTAGAAAACAAGGCAGATAATGATGGAATGTTTCACACCTGCGTTCCTTTCACAGGTACAAAGCCCCCTTTGTAAAAGTGATCCAATTCCTTCAGCAAGCTGGGGGAGGGGGAGGCTTAGGTTATGTGTAAGCAGGTAACCAGTCTTGGCAACAAGGGTTTTTGGGGGGAGAGGGGCTCGATAGGGGAAGTGCTATTATGGCATGATAAATTCTGGAATTAAAATTAAGAATTTCTGTCCAAGGAATTAACTGCTGTATCAAAACCTGTAAATGGTTCAGCTGAGAGTTTAAAAAAAAAAAAAAACTTAGCTTTCTAATTCTGAAGGCCACAGGCTGTGAAAGATCATTTTGGGCAGATTCTTGCTTAGTAATATTACAGAACAGGGTGGATGGGGGGGCAGACAATGAGGAGCATAAAATGAACCCTATGGTTCCCTCAATGAAGACTCCAAGAATGCCAGTCTAGTTATGAAAAGCAATGACATCAGTAAGTCCTTATCAGCATAATAGTAATCCAAAGAAACAGGAAAAGAAACTGGCTTTGTTTTATGGATGTTAGTTCCACAGTAGAGAAAAATACTAGATTAGAAAATTGGGTCAGGAATTTCCCTAGTCATATGTCTAGTCATATCAGGACAGACTAAAGAATGAATGCTGTCCTTCTGTCCAGGCTTCATTCTGGCAGGTCTTCATATTTACGCATGCGAAGTCTGGCAAATAATGAGCTTCTGTATGAAAAACTTCCAAGGATAAAAGCTATCTTGGCCGTTTTTGGCTGTAGCGGCACTATTAATAGCTCTACCTGCAAAGCAATTGTATTGGCAACAGATTGCTTCTAGATCCAGCATAAGAGACCTACATTCAACAGCCTGGAAAACCAAAGGGAAGAAAGGTAAGACTATTTTCTTCAATATCTTTGGGAGTACAAGTATTTAAAAAACCCATGTTTCATAACAGTGTGTGTACTCTTCCTCCCCACCCCCCCAAAAACAGTTTCCATAAATGGAATTTGACCACCACTGTCACACATGGCAATTGTCTCTAACTTTCCCTTTCCTCCTCCTTTCTCATTTCTTTCTGAAATTTACTGAAAATTTCTTTTTACAAAGTAGCGTCTGGCCACTGCCTCTACAACACCTTCCGAAACCTAATGCTTTCACTCTGTAAGGGGAGGAAAAAAACCCAGTAACACCACCAATGTTTTTATCTCTGCAGCAAGGTCTCTACACATCAAATGAGACGCAGGGCAGGCTGTCCTTTGCCGTCCAAATACTGGAAAAGCTATTGGCCGAGTGTTTCGTTAAGAAAGTCCTAAGGACTTAAGGTGAAAACCGGAACACGTTATAGGTAAAAGCAATTTTGTCACTAGTTCTTTATGTCTAAAATTTCATCCTTGTGTCTCAGAGGTGTAACAAAATTGATTTGAATTAGATGCTATGACAGCAACAAAACAAACAGAGCGTTAATGAGACCTGAAAACACAGCTAATTGTTAGGGATGAACCTGAAGTTACATCAGACAACTGAATCATTGGACAGTTGCATACAAGTTTCCTTAAAAGAGCCAGACAAGCCCTATGGAAGGAACTCTTCAGAGAAGAGAACTAGTTTTTGTAATCTAGAAAAGAAATCTCAGCTGTGGTGTACCAAGTGCAAGTACTTTCTCATCACCTGTAAGTGATCTTGCAGCCTGGGTTTCTAATGGAGTCTATTTAGTTCTCTTCAATGAATACCAATGAACTTGCTGTTATGTCTTGAAAGAAGAGGCATTAGAAAAAGAAAACTCAGAACTGGCTGAGTTCACCCACTTCTTTTTACCTTACCCCCCCCCCCCCCAAAAAAAAATATCTCTGGTGGACCTTCTTTTAAAGACCTCATGAACTACAGCTTGATTGGGGGGTGGGGGGAGAAAGAAAAGCTGATGTAATGAAGGCTTTTCCTTATTCCAGAAAGCCCTAAACTGCAGGTACCTTTGATAAATTTAGTTTTCCTTCTATTTTTCGTAGCTTAGCTTCTTCCTTCTGTTTGTCCAGCTCTTCAAGCCGCTTTTTCTGTTGCTCGTGCTTCAGAGCACTTAAAGGTTGCTCCTGTGGTGTAGCTTCCTGAAACAGGATAAATAGTCTCTTAGTCGTACCAAAACGTTAGCGCCTTGTATAGCCACAGAAAGACTAGGCAGAAAATTTTGTCTTCACTTACCAGGCATAACCGGGCTGCTATTTTTGCAAAAGCAATGAATATGAATTTGTAACTATGGCAACTGTCTCGACTGTTCTATAACAATGCTTCAGTTGTAACAAAGATACTAAATAAGGCAATCTTTAACTATTATTCTGTCTTGAACTATCAGCCTCTCCCTCTGAACAACCTGATTGTATACAATGGGAATAAAAATCCCTTCGTCTTCCTGCTTGCTATGGCTCACTGCTCAGTCTGTGCTCCAAGCAGATTCAGCCGTATGATCTAATTAGTACTGATCTGTTTCAGGTAAATTCTGGACTCTATCTTCTTTCTTCTGTTCCTGCTTAGGTATGGGTATCAGTGGTGTTTAACAACTTTATACTCCAGCTGCACGGACAGTTTTCAATGCTATCGGGCAAAAATCATCCCTCTTATCATTTATCTACCAGCCAAAACTGAAAAATTACTTCGTGAACCTTCTCCAATCAATACCTTTTAAAGTGGTCTTCTATTTCCAATAGGTTCCCATTTCTCTATTTCTTTAATCTATGCCTAAAAGCTATGTAATACTTCAGTTTACACCTCTAAGACTGTTCTTCATGCCAGCCCTGAAAATGCTCAGTCTTCAAAGCGTCATTACTTGGAAAAACATTCATTCAGGCACAGTACTCTAGAGAGTCAAAAGGACAAAGTCTACTGAATTATTCTGATTTAAAAGAACTACTGAAGATATACACCTGTTAAATCAACAACAAACTGCATGCAATTTAAATCTTACCCCTAACACAAGCGCTGTGTAACTGACAGCTGGTAAGTCAGAAGAACTGAAATCGGAACGCTGTCCAGTCGGACCTCTTGACACACTGAGTGGAACTTCATTAGCCTCTGTGGTTAAAATAGTTCTACAGACACAGTTTTCGTCAGTAGTGATAACCGAATCAGCTGGAAACATTGTCTGCAAATAAAGTGACTGTTATGGTTTAAGACTTATTTAGCTGTCCTGTTTTGCCAAATATCCTTTAACATATATTAAAATAATAAATTATACTTCTAAAAGCTGCTATTCATTAAAACTTAAGCCAAAACTTGTAGTTATGAAGTCAATATTTCTTATGTGGAGTGAGACAAATTCTTATAGGGCTGAGAATAGTTAAGTTTCTAGGAATGCTGAACAGGTCACACAAGCAATTTGCTTTTACTGTAGTAACTGACAGCAGCTACAACCCTAACCTCTGTTTAATAGCAATCAGTTCCACAGGAGAAGCACTCTTATCTGAGTATATTTATCTCTCACACAGCACTTTCAGAGTGATAGCAGGCTGGTGACAGTGAAAGCCAAATTGATATGCCTTATAATGTAAACAATCAAATGTATTGGAGAAAAATAATGAACAATGGAAATAATTACGTTACTATTCGCCAAAATGGACCTGGAAAAGATTTGCTCCTTTTAGGTAGGAATCGGCATGGAAGGGCACAAATGGGTTCTTCATACTACAAAGTCTTAATATGCAAGGCTACAATTTGGAGCAAGTGTGATATGAAGAGCTGCTTTCACAGCACTTCACACCACGACAGAGCTTAAAACTGAGCACTGACGTTTCCAGTAAACACAATCCATGCAGAAATAAAATACTGTATAAATTAAAAGTTCCACAGCTCTGGAACAGTGCTGAGAAAACTGTGTGCTCTTTTGTGCTTACTGCTAGCTTACCTTATCTGGGTCAGCTGTTCCCATTTTTTCTGAATAGGGTTTATCACTGGCAGGTTTCTCCCAGAAATAACCCACCTCTCCCTCCAAAGTTTCTTTCAGTTTCTTCTTCAGAGCTACCTGTTCATCTTCAAAAACAAACTCTAGTAAGAGTTCCTAATATAGACAGGTAACGGCATTTCAGAAAAAACAGTGCATAATCTACCTTATAATTCTGACTGTAAAATGGATTACAAGGGAAAGTTGCAACTGCCTGACGTGTCAGTCTGAAGATGACTTTGCTCCTAGATAGGATGGCTAATGAGTCTCTGGTAATTGGGTAGTCTCTCTGAGAAGACTACAAAACAGTGAAAGTTTACCAACAACCCAGGAGAATGGAGTAAACTGTCACAAATAACCAAGTAAGTAAATAAATTCTCCCTGTTTTACACCAGTCTTGGGCTATTAGGATATTACTAAAACAAATGGAATTTTACATGGAAGCAAAGCTATTGACAATGCAGAATCAAACCCTGAAACCAGATGGTGCGCATGCAAGTCTAAATATAAATAAACAAAGTGGCTTTCCTACTGCATTAAACGTTCTCGTCTTCTACAGAGGTTCCTCCTTGCCCCCTCCAGTTGATGATGGGGCAAGGGTGCATATTGATTCAATTGTAATTTGCTATATTCAGTCATGCTTGTAGATTAGGTGATGCTTCCCCTTAAAATAAACAAACTCATTTGTCAATGATGGCTATCAAGAACTGGAAGAATCTGACAATAGCTTGTATACGTTCCTGAAATATGAAGCATAAATGAATGCAAATACTTATTACTGTGCTTTGGTTAAGAGAAGTTTTATGAAAGAAATAAGGGTAGGGTGGTTCTTTGAGTAGAATTTTGAAATTTGGGAGTCCTGGTCTGTCCTGGCGGCTGATAAAAGTACATAGTTTTCTAATTTGTAGCACTACGCTGATATAAGTAAATTTGTAAGAGCATAAGGAATGCAAGGTTTCTTGACGTCTTGTTACTTAAGCATAATAAACTGATCAAAAATATATTCTGGATATTACAGATACCTAATTCCTTCTTCCATTGGGTCTTTTTGATTTCTAATAAGGCTTTATCCACTTCTCTTTCACCCAAGGTACTAAACATGTCAGCAGGTTTCCAAGAATTCTTTCTAGAGAAGAGGGAGGAAAAAATTATTTTACCTTAAAAGCTGATCTGTTAATTTTACAGGTAATCTTATAGTTACTGATTAAAGAGATTCTTACTATGATTATAAATAAGAATCTCTATTGCAGACACAATTTTTGTAGACAATCAATAGTACGGATCTACATACATAACAACTTTCTCTCCTGGGTGTGGATGTGCTTCTTGTTTCCTGCTTGAATTGGAGTTAGCTTCATCTTCACCGGCTTTTTGGAGCAGTGCCATAGTGTTTTCCTCTGATGCCTCATTAGCAGCTGCAGTAGAATTTAAATTTGTATTTAGGTCTTTGAAGCCGTAGACAATGTATGTGATAGGTACACATATGCCTGCTAAACTTTCTTCAGCATTCAGTAAATACTTTAATAACAGCAGAAACTTGCAATTTCCTTGCTATTTAGCAAAACCGTTTTCAACCTTGCTTGTATGCCTACAAGAGAGCTGAGATTTTGGTGACTCTGGTAATTACTCAACTGCAGTGTGTCTTGTTCTTGGTGACAAAGACGAGGCCTCCGCAGGTCCACAAACAGGAGAAACAATACAATACAAGATATATTAACAGTTCTCATGCTTGTGAGTGCAAGAATTGCAAAACTAACTACTTGTCATTAATATTGCTAACTAGGCAAAAAGATGCACGTTACATCTTAGGCTCAGAGGAAAATGGCACAACTGCTTTTGAGAGGCATAGCAATACTGGAACTCTTCACAAAACCAGAAAGGCCTATCTGTTTGAAGTACTCTGTATACTAGTTTTCTTTTAGGTGTGGGGTGTTTTTTTTTTTTTTTTTGAACTCTGAACGCTAAGAGTATAGCGGAGTCCTACATGTTGAAGGGTTTTCCCTAATGTAAAATGGTTCATTTCTGCACCAAATCTTGAGGGTTGCTAGCCATTCTGTTCTTCAAAGTACTGGAATACTATCAAGCAATCCTTACTTTTTACTGTTAAAAATTATCGAATGCTTGGTTTCTAACAACCGCAGGCAATTTTACAACCGTAAGAACAGTATTTTGTCTGAGATCATTTAAGAGTAACATCTCTGCAGCCTACAAATAACCTTAAATTACGAACTCAAAAGTTCAGCTTTCACGTTTTGCTTTCTTCCTGTGATACTAACTTATTCAACCATCTTAAGACAACGCTTCTGCAGCAAGATGCATCTTACCCATTTCCTCTTGCTTTTCGTTATGAACTTCAGAAACGCTTCTAGTTCCTTCTTTTACAGTCATCAAAATCCGTTCAAGCTGCTCTTGTGTTAAACACACCAAACTACTTCTTAGGTCTTCAGTTGATGTATGTGGAGTTTGCACTTTCTGTTTACTTTTTTTAACAATATTAAGATTCTCTGAATCAAGCTTTCTGCTTGTGTTATCTCTTTGGAAAATCAAAGTGTGATCTTCATTTGGGGCTTCATGAGAGGAGTTATTTGCAGTTATTTGCACTTTTTCACCTTTTGTCATTGATAAACTTGATTCGCTCCTCGGTTTTGTTAAGTTTTCATGCTTGATCTGATTCTGTGTTGACCTCGACACATGCCCAGTGTGCCTTATTCTCAAGGCATGTTTAGGGACTCTGGCTTTATTACCCATCTGTTAAAATAGTAAGATTACACCATATAGTAATATTAATACACTATTAAGCAAGTTAATAACTTCTCACAGGTAAAAAAACTTGAGAATGAAGCAACAGTTCAAGTGTTACTTCTTCCTCTCTGTTACATCAACAGAAACTAATTCAGTAAAAACTAACGAAATACCTTAGAAGAGGGATACGGCACCTAAATTTGAATGCTTAAAAGCACGAGTATGAAAACTAGCTTTATGTAGCATAACGTTAAAAATTCAAACATTCACTCCTTTGCTTTGGTATTTCTGAAGCATGGCTTCAAATAAGCCTACTCTCACCATACAGCCAGTACTAATTAAATCTCTATTCTTCCATTCTGTCCTAAATGATGTTGTCTTTCTCAAGGTCCTTTATGCACAACTGTAATTTTCTCCTATGTATTGAAACCTTTTCCTGCTTTCTCACTTCCCTCCCTCTGCCTTCATTCCAACTTAGTCAGAAAGAAACAGCCTGGACCACTGAGGAGGGACTTGAACACACTTCAATAGCGTGTTTTTCCAGAGTTCCTCTGAGATCTGTTAAACTTATCATTTAAGTGATTCCTTGTACTGCTGTAACTTCTTGGCAAACTAAGCTGAAGCATTTTCCAAAGGTTAATTCATAGAACTTTAAATTCATTCTTTTTAACAGCTGTCATGAAACTGGAGAAATACACATTCATTTTTCGTAAACTTCGCTGATTCCAAATATTGAGACACTTCAAATGTGTTCTCAATTTTCTATGTGAATAAATTAACTAGTAAACTTTGTTGTTAGAACATACACAGTTAATCTTCCACTTACCTTCACTGCAGGTTTTGATTTACCTATTGGGGAAACAAACACAAACGTGTGAAAGAGGTGTTTAATCACAACTTCCTCCTGAAAAACAGATCCTGACGAATTCAAACCGTTAACCTTTGCTTGTCTTTGGAAGGCAGGACAAAGAACTTTTCCCCCATAACATCCACCCCAATTATTTTATATTAATTATTTATTATATCATTAATTATACTACTTATGTTTTAAATATATTTCAGTATACATGCTTCAAGAGCATGGTGAAAAACAACTAGACAGATATAGTCCAGTAACTATGTCCAGTCGGATACAGATCTAATAAAACTACTGTGCCGGTCTGATCTTGCCTTGCTATTTGTTCCATTAGTCAGTGATACCACTGTGCAAAGGGCTTATTTTTAACCATTTTCTTACTGTGATTTTTCAATTTATTTTGTGTCATGTCCTTCCAGGATAGTCCCTGCATCCAACGCCATCTTGCTATATAAGGTAACCTGCTCCTCATCACTGAAGTCCTAAAGAAACAACACTTGCATAATTGCTCCATCTGTTGTTTCCCCTACCCGGGCCCTGAAATACACACACTCCTCAGTCTTGTAAACCAAATTACACACAGAGCTGGCAATCTCAAAAATATTACGTATTTCTGAAACTGTTTATTATAATACTTTATATATTGATAAAGAATATTAATAAAGGGAAGGTAGTATTCAAAAAACAAAACGCTGCACACAAGGCTAATGGAAAAGGGAGAGAACAGCTGGGATGTTTTAGTGGGACATATCTGTAGAAAACAAGGCTTCCTCAGCTGCACTATCTGCTTATTGCTCTGGCAGTGGTTGTCACATGTTTTGGCTTTGGTACCTCCTATACTTTTTTTTTTTTTTTTTTTTCCTATGACTGAAAACAGACATTGGAGAACGCTAACTGTTCTGAAAGTCTGCAAAACCCCATTACTAATAGTTCCCTATTTAGATAAACATTTTTAAACTTGGAAGTATGCTAAACTCCTGTCCTATAAAGACAGGCGTTAAATCCTGCAGCACTTTGATATTCTTTTAGCAGCAAGTGTGTTTTGGGGCTGTTTCACTGGGCTCTCAGGCCCTGAGCCCCCATCTGAGCAAGTAAGTCACTTTTTGACTTCTTCCTGCCAATTAAGAATTCAAATAAGGTGAAATTCTACACAGCATATAAACCACATCTCTGGGGAAATGAGAAAGAAATATAAAGAGGACCACTGCCTTCATAACGAGGAGGTATCTAAACACTGGGAACTCCAAAGTACTGTTTATGGGTTATCATCTTTGTTCTTTTCTCTGTAAAAGAGAAAATATCTCAAATAGCAGCTTAAGCTACTACAAAATAATCCTACTTTAGCCCCTAAAACCATGCACAGAATTTGACATTGCAGAACATGGAAATTCAGAAGTAATGCAATATGATATAATTTTTGAAAAAATTCCATGAAAGAAACTGCCCCTTAAATCAGTTGTATAAACATAATTTGTTAATTATTAGAGAAGACTGCTTGTCCAAGGCCAGTTAAAAGCCAAAGCTAATGCTTTATTTTACAATAAGAGAGCACTCTAGAATGTACATTGGCCCCATCTTACAAATGAGGCTAGCTATGGTTAGAAAAAGTGAAAGCTGTAGCACTGCTGCATCAGAGGTGTTGTGTCATTTTGTTTCTGGTAGACTACTATTCCTCCTCGACTCAGAAAATATCCCATGATGCCTCACTAGACAGCTGTCTAGCAGATGCAGAAAAAGAGAAAGGTGAGAAGGCATTAAACAGAATTTCTGTATCCTGACTGCTGTATAGAATGGCTAGGGAAAGCGCATTCATGCTTGTATATAAACATATGTATGATAAATAAAAGAACTAGAGTTTATTAATCACCTGAACTGGTTTGCAGCTGTGCAACTACTGCTACGATGCAATTCTGTGTACATTCAGCAGAGCGCTGTTAAGCCTCTTTTTCCCCGGTAAATACAGTACAGCAAAGGTACTGAAATCCTCAAATTATGTCTGTCAATCTATAATGGTCAACTTAGCTTTTTTTTTTTTTTGGTGACTGGAAAGCTAGGCTGTACAAAGAGTTGAGCCTTTTTGCGCTCTGTTCACTAATGGACAGACTAATCACAGTTTAATATCAACCTACAGCAGTGACAAGCTGCACAATTCACAAATATCCTTCAAAGTTTCAAACTGTTCTTCCTAATCCTAAAGATACTTTGATAAGGCTGAAATGTATACTGTTTGGATCTTAAGTTTAACTTCAAGAAGCTTTAAACATTACTTGATAAATGATTAAAAAAAAATACCGTAAGAAGCCAAAATTAGTCTAGGCTTTCCATCCAATATTTCAGTTTCAAGCTTCAGACCATCTCTGTAAAAACAAGAGAGAGAGAAATCTGAACAGTTAAGTACCTGCTAATGATAAGATTTTTATATTAATAGCAAAAATAAAATTCCACTTTATCATAATACTATATATATATACACACACACACATATACACTGCTGGTCCCGATGGTCTTTCATATCCTAGTTTTCTACATAAATGAGAAATGATTTCATACAAGAAATCAAAAGCTCTCAAAAAGCATCTTATAATTTTGGAGTTTATAATTTAGACTGGCATATTTCTAAATGAATCTTCAAAGTGAAGTCACCACTCTATGTTGTTATCTGTAACATTACGCCTGCCTCATGAACTTAATAATCTAACAATATGAACTGCGTGCTACAAAAAATGCTAAATAAATCTTCTTAAATTCTAGCATTGCTCATGACAGCAAGGAACAGTATTCTGAAAACACTGTGTAACTGTGCTTTCTTTCAGCTCTTTAACTAAAATAGTCTATTTTTTTTTAAGTAGAACAAATTATACTGCAGGGATAAAAGAAAAAGTTGGAAGTGTTAGTTGTGATTTCTTTAAATTTTACAGTTAGGTATGTGTGTAAAACAGCCAAATAATTTCCCGTATTCTATGCATTACCTTCAGGAAAACTCATCTTAAAAACGCTCTCGGTGTTATCAAAATAACACCTATCTTCAAGTTGCCTTTCCTTCCAAAAATGATCTAAAACTTGCATGCAATTCCCACGATATTTGCTAATGAACACGGCAGCACAGCAGTGCCGGAGACTAATTCCAGCGGTTGAAACAGCCTAAGGCAGCGAAGAAGGGCCGAGCATCTGGGTTTGTTTTTCAACGCCGTCGTGTCGGGAGCACGAGGCAGGAAGGGGCAGCGGGGCGGGACGCGCCGGGGGAAGGGCGGCTGGGCGCGGGGGCGTCGCTCCCCGCA